CTGCTCCGCCCCACCAGTGTGTGAAGTGCCACTGGAGCCACACAACACTAAAGAGTGTCCCCGGCCCAAAGACGCCGAATCCCCGCCCGCCTGTGTCCTGTGCAACCAGACAGGACACCCGGCGAACTACAAGGGTTGCCCACGCGCACCTCAACCTCGCCCCAGTAGGAAAGCTCCACCGCCGGTGAATGACCGCACTTTCCCAGCCCTCCATCAACGGCCCCCGTCAGGGCCCCTCTCAGCCTATCCAGGGCTTCTCTCGACCCTCTCAGGGTCCCCCTAGGCCCCCTCAGGGTCCCCCTAGGCCCCCCTCAGGGTCCCCCTAGGCCCCCTCAGGACATAATTCGGCCCCCTCCGGGCTTCTCAAAGCCAATGCAGCCTCCAGTCTTTCCCTGGGGGCCCAAAAGAGCAGACCCTCCGCGGACAACCTCGTACGCACACGAGGCAGAGCCCACAACAGACGACTACAACACGCTATACTCCGCGATTAGGAATATAGATGTTAGAGAAATTACGGTTATAGCACGCAAACTGCGCGCGGCGAAGTCCCCCCAAGAGCGTCTCCTCGCTCTTGCCGAACATAACGATCTTCTACTAGCGTTGTAAGTTAAGTTAACGTAATTAACTTAACTCCAATGCCTGAGCAAACTAACCTACCTAGATCTCACGGTCGTATCAAACCTAAGGGTTTATCGCTTGTATCATTTAATATTCGCGGCTTGCGAAATAACCTCCCAGAGCTCAAGCTCTTTCTTCGGAATCGTGAAGTCGATTTCCTCCTCCTACAGGAAACCAATCTCAAAGATAAGGACACTAGAGGCCTTTCTATTAAAAACTTCTCTCTTCTTCGTAACGACAGACCCGACCGCCGAGGCGGCGGAACGGCCATCTATTACAAGAAGACACTTCATTGCTCGCCCATTTCTACTCCGCAGCTTACCAACATGGAAGCCACGGTATGCAGGCTAGCTATGACTGGACATCAGTCCATCCTCATAGCCTCCTGTTACATCCCTTCAGGAACCTATCCCCTTAAAAAGGATTTTGAGGTCATTTTATCTTTAGGCAATTCAGTCATTATGTTTGGAGATTTTAACTCCAAGCATACTGAATGGACATGCCGCACTACGTCCCCTAGTGGCAAGATACTGCTCGATATCACGCAGTCTCTTGATATTACCGTCCATAGTCCTCTCGGTGTTACTCACTTTCCCGATAACACCGATCACGCCCCCGATGTGTTAGATTTTGCGTTACTCCAAGGAGTTTCTCTCAACCTCGGAGCAATCGAGACACTAGACGATCTAGGATCAGATCACCGACCGGTCTCCCTCATTCTTGGCCATCAGCCACCTCCCCCAACACACACGAAAACCTTCACTAACTGGAAGGGATTCAAGGAGTCCCTAGCTAAAGCTTTGGACTCACAGGACTCTACCATCTCCCTACCGTCGGACTTAGATAGTCCCGAAAAAATCGACACCGCGGTCGACTCACTCTCCACCCTTATTAAATCCTCCCTTAAGGAGAACGAAAGGGTCGTCCCGGTTGCTAACAATAGTGGGCTTCCCCTACATATTAGCAACCTAATAAAAGCCAAAAAAGCTGCTTTCCGGAGAGCAGCAAAATATCCCACCCCCGAATATAGGCGCGCGGCCAATCGTCTTCAACGAAAACTCCGCTTCCGCCTCTCTGAATTTCAAGATCTCGAAAAGAGTAAGCTCATGGAGAATATCTCTCCATCTCACACAGCGTACTATCAGATGGCTAGAGCCCTCCGCATAGACGCTATCACCCACACTCCCCCTCTCTCCCGTCCCGACGGCACGGTTGCCTTCGAGGACGAGGAAAAGGCTGAGTGCTTTGCAGATAGCATTGCCGCTCAATGCTCTCCCAGTTCTCAACCCGTCGACCCCTCACACGTCCAGGCAGTGGAGGATGAGGTCCGCCGCCGGAGCTCACCCCCCACGGCCTCTGAACCTATCTCTGTGTCCAATGATGAGATCTCATCCCTCATCAAAGGACTTAAGCCTAAAAAGGCTCCGGGCGCGGATGGCATCTCCAACCAAGCCCTAAAACACTTTCCCGAGCAGGTGTTAACCTTTTTATCTATTATCTTCAACGCCTGCTTCAACCTTAGTTATTTTCCCACTACGTGGAAAGAGGCTACTGTGATTGGAATTCCCAAGCCAGGCAAGCCTCTCAACCTCCCCTCCAGCCATCGCCCCATTAGCCTCCTCAAGGCAATGGGCAAGCTCTTCGAAAGAGTCATCCAAAGTCGTATGAGGCGCTACCTGTTTCCCACAGACGGCGACCCTCTTATCATTCCCCATCAATTCGGCTTCCGAGCCAAACACTCATGTCCCCAACAAGTTCACCGCATTGTGGAATATATCCTCAGCGGTTTCTATCCTCGTCGTCATAAGACCATCGCGGTCTTTTTCGATATAGCCAAAGCTTTCGATAGAGTCTGGCACACAGGCCTTATCTACAAGCTCTATAAAATAGGTCTCCCCGATCGTCTAGTTCGTCTCGTGGCCTCCTATTTAAAACATCGTACCTTTCGTTTCAGACACGAAGGCACGCTCTCTTCACAGCGAACTATCAAGGCTGGTGTCCCTCAGGGCTCAGTACTTGCTCCTCTGCTGTACATCATATTCACCAACGACATTCCCATCCCGTCGAAAGGTGTTCAACTCTCCCTCTTTGCAGACGACACTGCCATCTACTGCAAAGGTGTCTCACTACCCTTCATACGGAACAAGATCCAAAAGTCAGTTGATGACCTAGGAGCTTGGTTCAAAAAATGGCGCATCGATGTGAACCCGGAGAAGAGCTCCGCCGTTCACTTCGATTATAAACGACGCCGTCTCAAAAACACTCCACCAATACGTATGCTAGGGACCCCTGTCCCCTGGCATACGTCCGCCAAATATTTAGGTGTCACTCTAGACACAGGGCTCACTTTCAAGCCCCACGTCAAAAGAGTAACCCGTCACGCACGTTTTTATCTGAGTAGGCTCAACAGTATGTTGGGCCGACACAGTAAAATGTCCCTTCGAAACAAGCGTACACTCTATAAGGTATGTATACGACCAGTCATGTCCTACGCGGGCCCCGTCTTTGCCCACGCAAACCCTAACATTTTAAATGAACTCCAAATAGTTCAGAACCTATTCTGTCGTCGAGCTGCGAACGCACCGTGGTACGTCCGCAATGCCGACCTTCATCGGGACTTAGAGCTCCCAACAATTCAACAATTTCTTAAAAAACTCTCTGAGAACTTCTTCAAAGCCTCAGAGTCGCACCCAAACCACTTAATTCGTGAGGCAGCTTCTTATGCAGCCCCACCCCCCTCTCGCTATCGTGTCCGCAGGCCGAGAAACTCTCTCTCGGACCCGCCTAATAAACTTTCAAACGACCTGAACTGTCTCCTGGCAGCTCAGGCCAACTCTAATTAAATAAAATTATTGTAATATCTGACATTAATTTGCCTTCGTAGGCACTCCCTCAGCGGCACTTAGCCGCCTGCGCCCTCTTTTCCCAAAAGAGGGTCGCTCATGATAAGGCACAATAGAGCTTAATCAGCCGGTTGCCTGTCCCTAAAGGCGGTTTTTAGGGGGTATCACTTAGGGTCCCCGGTAGGACAGTGAGTCCCCCATAACCACGATAGACCGGCTATCGTGGTATGCGTAATGCATTTTCCGCCTCCCTACGTACAGGGTAGCCCTTTAATTGCTTCGGGCGCAAAAAAAAAAAAAAAAAAAATAACGTCACAATCTCTCCGTGCGTGGCTCGAGACCCGCAGCGACCGCGGCGGCGATTACGCAGCGCGCCGCGCCTAGTCCGCAGCGCACCAGTATCCTCCCCCAATTTTTTTACAACTTAAGTCCAGATCACGGTCATGGCGGAACACGTTAATCTACTATCGCAAAATTCCCGATCGAAGATCCCATCATGCAACCAGGTTTCTGTGATTACAATAATGTCATATTCATTGCATAAAATTTGCTGTCGCAGTTGTAAACATTTTGTTCTCAGTCCGCGAGCATTTTGATAATAAATAGATAAATTTTTCCCTAATTTGTTATATTGGACCGCCATTTAAACATATATTAATTTAATAAATTGTAACTGTCTAATAAGTTTACCGGAAACGAATGGCATAGTTATAAAATAAAAAGTTATCAAAATAAAATAATAGCCACGGACATTCATTAGTAAAATTATGTTTACAAGTATTAAGTATGTTTTTATTAATTGTTGCGTAATGAGATTTTCGCTCGCACACGCTAAAATACTATTTCTCCAGAATAATAGCAACGAATAAATATTGTTTTTTATAATAAAAGGATTTATGTGTGTTTGTGTCAGAATATTAAAGTGTTTACTTATAGAGTGTAATGTTCTACTACTAAGCGGTAGGCACATCATTTTGCGGGCAAGTTGGCGGTATTGTAAAATAAAATTGTTGCAGATACAGAACGCCTTACACTCCCCAAAGCCGATATATATAATTAGTAGTGGTTGCGTAGTACTTTGCTTAGTAGAAACAATGATGAGAGAGGTTGGTTGATGTGCCATTATGTACTCATGGATATTACAGATCCTCATAAGTTCAAAAAAGATATGTGCATAAAAAAACTTGTCTTTGACTTTACTAGTTTGTTACAGTGAACCGATAAGTTTAAATATTGTGTGTTACAGTACCTGCCATTTAATCGACAAACCAATATAAAGTTGTAGTGCACTATGCGTAAGGGAATAGGTGCAAATGCAAAAGTACAAAATATAACAATAATTAGCTTGAGCACAGAGTAGACTAACTTCAGAGAAAATATGGACCAAAACGTTTCTTCATTTAACATAATATTGTGGAAAACAATTAAATTGTCTATTTTTATATTATTACGGTTGTGATAAAGATTAGTAAAGGTAAACAAACAATAGACACCAAAACCAATAAGAAAAAAATAATAAAATTATAAAAACGACATCAGCTATTGTTTGGTGATAATTTTCTTGAGATCCTCCTCGTCGAATATTTGCAGACCAGGAGATGTATCGTTTCGTCGCACAAAAATTCTTCCATTTTTTGTCCAGACGAACTGGTACAGACTCGATTTAGCAAAATCTTTGTACCTTTTTAGGAGCTGCTTATTATGAGAGGTTAAGTGCTCATTGATAAAAATTGGTCTGCTTTCACCTGCTAGCCCAATTTCCTTAGTGGTTAGACGATTTTTACGGGATAGAGATATTAGGTTATCTTTCAGGAGCCTTGATTTCATTTTGGCAATAATCACCCTGGATCGACCTGGCAGTTTTACTTTTGGGGATACTCTGTTAACCTGCAGAATGTCATTTGTATCGATTTTAACTCTGACGTGTTTACATATTCTCAAGATGGTATCATTCAAGTCCTCGTTGATTGATTCTGGTATGCCGACAATTTCAACATTTAGCATTCGGTCACGTTGCTCGTTCATTTGTCGATTTAATTGTTGATTTTGTAGTTTAAGATTATTAATTTCCGATTTGAGGTTGTCGGTTTTCTTTGTGAGCTCAAATAGGACTTTAAAACTCTTTAGTGGTTTCATCATGCCAGTCAGAGTTAAGCTGCACTGATTTTTGGAGTGTGATTATTTATTTTTGCATTTCGGATTGTTGTGCACTCAGCACTGCGACACATGATTTTACTTCTGTATATTCCTTCCGAACATTTTTAATCTCTGTCTTCAGTTCCAGAGACTCTTCTTTTAATATAGTAAGATCTTTCTTAATAATATCATTTAATGTGTCGTTTATTTGTGATAGATTTTTATCTATCACTGTTTTCCAGCTATCCATTTTTTTAATATGGTGTCCGTAAACGCTTGAAACGATTCTGTGATATCATGATCGTTTTTTTGCTTCCTTACACCTATGCTCGATAAATCTGGATTAGAATCGTGACGCTTATTAGAAGGTGAGCGTTGCATTTTGCGGAAGGATTTCTCTGAACTCCAGCTACTCTGTATTATGCGAGTAAGATACAATAATAACCAGAGTGTAATTTCACTGCACTGTGAAGGTCACACGCTTACTCAACACGGCACGTAACCACTGACACTAGCAATGCAAAATTAACTCTATTGTAGTTGCAATAATTACGATTTTAGAATGACACTATTTATTGAGAATGATTTAATTTTAACTAAGCGGTACGACACGTCTGTATGCGTCGAGACTATTTACCTATACCTTTTAAAACACATTAATTGAAATAATACTAGTTTTTACGGAATTTATCGCGTATATTTAACTTTTTAATTACCCGACGTTTCGAACGCTTTACAGCACTCATGGTCACGGGCAGGACTGAGATGTTTAACGTCCATAATATGTCATAGTTAACGGCGGTTACCATAGATTAAAAATTAACTTTTGTTCCGATCTATGCAGTATGAACTTATGGTATCTTGAAGTCTTGCAGTTGTTTGCTTGGGTTGGGATTTAATTTTATTTATTATAGGATCCCAAGCCTAGTATTATAAAACTAGTATTATTTCAATGTGTAGTGTTCGCGTAAATATAAGAAATCATTATGTAAAACATAAGTGATTTTCTCGAGCTTAAATAACGCTAAATAAACAGATTAAGGCCAGGCAAAACCAGGGTGGGTCGCTTAGTTCTGATAAAATATTAAGTACAGGCCAGACTAAAGCGATTGATTGAAAAAGTAACCCTTAATCTTGATTATTTTATCCTTCCTTTACATGTTCAGTGTCGTGGACCCGATGAGCGAGCGATGTCCTTTGGGAAATTACTTTACTCGGACGACATTACTGTTCGATGCCTGTTTTCGCTTTGCCTCGTAAACCAAAGTAGAAAGTAACCGTGAAATTTGTTAGAGCTTTATAAAAAAAACTTTACTATGACAATTTAGTTATGGCAAAGGTTAAGTAATTATTTCGTGTTAAGCAATGAGAACTTTTTGGAGCAAATATTAGCCATAGAGTGTGTAAGAATATCAACTGCCCCATATGATCCTACAGAGTGTAGCTGAATCTGGAAATGGGCAAAAATACCTTCCTGATAACAGCTGAATTAAAAAGATACCGCTACGGTAGGCAACCCGCTTGCCAAGCCTAGTAGCTGTCACAAACATCCTCCTTACGAAGCATTCTATGGGTGGCCTATGTTAACACTGGACTTTTGATAGGCCATATTGGTAATAGAAAAGATAAAGTAAGTTCTCATTTCTAAAATATTTATAGAGTAATTGGTCCGCCGCATTGCGTCAGTAATAGTAGATCGAAGTATTTTTCCGTCAGATGTCTACTACTAGACTACTACTAGACGTTTTTTTTTAACGTTGGTTATCATCAGTATAGTGTATAGCATTCTATCCGAAGCTATTAGATTTTTACATTCTTATAGCTTCCATTGTCGCCATACTGTATTCGGAATGGATACATGACATTTAAATAGTAAGACTAGTATACCACGTGATGGTGGTTATGTGGTAGAAGATGTTACAACTGACTTAGCTTGACAAATGCCTATTCACTCTTGCCTTTAAGACACTCAGACTGAGATGAAAGATCAGATGGGGAAAATAGATGCGGACGAATTATTTCACTTCTTTGCTGTACGCATTTCAATGACGAAGCAAACCGCTTGGTTCGATTGGGTGGTATGTTGATAGCAAAGCCGTTGAGAATAGACGAGATACAGGTTTTCAGATAATGGAACTCTGAGTTTATTTAAAAAAATTAACTTGAGCAAAACCTAAATTTAAACAAAATTTTTCAGGGTACACACAATGTAATTGGATGATAAGATGGAGATGAAAGATAGCACAAATTATTTAACATTTAAAATCATAAAATGCATTCTGTACAATTTATATTCATCCACACGTCCGTTACAACCTATACAATACCACTACTGCGATCATACACCTTCCACGTAGATATCCTCATATTGGGGATTTTGTCATAGTTGCCAAGCTTGGTGGGCAAGTTGGCAACGGCAGTTTTTTTATATTTTGAGTTGTTATCTGGAAGATGCTACCCTCCGTCTTTTGTTTTAATTCTCTCTGTAGCTTCCGACGACACCCATGGGAACTTATCAATTAGTGAGTATTCTAACACCGCTACTGCACGATAGTTTTTTTTATATTATACATATAGGTATAATGTTTAAGGACGGTGAACAAAAATATCGTAAGGAAATCTGCATGTTAAATTTAAAAAAAAATATTTTAAAGTCGTGATGTTTTTGGAATGACTGCCTAGCCCTGTCACGTAAAGTGTGTTTTTAACTCAATATGTTCTTTAATGGGTAAAGAATTTTACGTAAAAATGTGTAACCGTGGACGAAAATCTTAGATAAGTGTCGTAAAGACTCAAGTCATATTATATTCACGAGGGTATACGCAACTGTCCTTACTAATTCAAACAAGCTGCCTCTATCTCAGAGATTTCTCGTCCCTCGTATTACTTATTAAGTGTTAAACTTGAAATCCCTGTCATCAAGTTAAGAATCAATGGAAAATATAAGCAAGTGGTAATATAAAAAATGTTATTCGACCAACTTCAATTTAAATAAAATGAGACCATCATTTATGTATTCAAAGTCAATTAAGAATAACACAAAAACTACTGGTCAGGTTTTGATCAAATTTATACGGGACCACCAACCCCACATAAGAAAAAGTTCTGAAATAACACACACATATAAAATATATTTGAATTGTGAACCACCTACTTTTTGAAGTCGGTTGAAAAGTAAGACAACATAATATGATAAGAACGAAGTTGAGAAAGTTATTCATTATCTTTTGGATTCCGCTGTAATATAGGTACCTCACCAATAAAATAACACTTAATTTATCTTGCAGAGATTTGGGGAAATACTGCTAAATATATATGTATATATATATATATATATATATATATATATATATATATATATATATATATATACTAATAATTTAATATATATGATAAAACCATTCATACTAAATTGTCTTTTGTAAAAAAATCACAAAGAACACGGTCCAAATTTGTATGAAGCGCATACCTGGTTTTGTACAAGAAGGGAAGTAAAATAAATTATATATGACATTACGTTTGGTCATTCAAATCCACGAATTTGCCTTTATTTCAGTGGTATTAATATTTTATTCTTACCAAAAACTGCAACCCTAATGGAGAATTGATGTCGTTTTGATCATGCTATTGTATTTTCTGTATATTAAATTACTCTAACCTATTGTATTGTATCTTTCAAGAAATTTCATTGATGGTTTAACTACCGCCATCTAGTCATTGATTTATAAAACACAATACTTTTTAATAAATTAAAAAGTATTGTGTTATAATGTGAATGAAATAAATTAAAAGTATAGCTGCTCTGCAATCTTGCATTTTTAGCTACATTATGTAAATAAATGAAGATAGTGTGGCCGCCACAAAAAATTAAGCATTATTAATAATAATTCTAAAAAGAAAATCATATTCTATTAAGCAAGTTATTGTTGTATGTTATTGTATTTATTAACTACATTCAAAATATCATCATCATTTACAGCCCTTAACAAGTCTACTGTTGAACATAGGCCTCCCCAAGGTATGCCACAAAGCACGGTCCTGAGCCGCCTGCATACATAGACTTCCTGCATGTCATACCAGGTTGTCACTCCGTCTAGTAGGGGTCACCCTACACTTTGATTACCGGTACGAGGCTGCCACTCGAGAACCTTTTCCCCCATCGGTTGCCGGTTCTTCGAGATATATGGCCGGCACATTGCCACTTCAACTGCGGATGCAGGTTCTACTGCGGATATCCTTATTTCTAAGTTTATCACGTAGAGAAAACCCTCTCCATGGCTCGCTGAGTGACTTTGAGCGTCCTGCTACGATCAGCAGTGAAGGACAACGTCGCATTTCCGTAGGTCATCACTGGCTAAACGCACTGGTTGTACAATCTCATTTTCAGGTTTTGAGGTATACCTGACGAGAAGACATGTCGTAATTCGACACAACATTTCGAACGCTACCCAACCGAGTTGAATCTGTCGAGTGATCCATGTTCATCTTAAGACCTATCCGTTGGGAGACACTATTGAGGTCACTGAGCATAGTGCTTAGGTCCTCCAGCGATTCTGCCATAAGGACTATATCGTCGGCAAATCGAAGGTGAGTGATGTACTCACCATTGATGTTAATACTGTCCTTTCCAGCCCAGCAGCTTGAAAACGTCTTCCAATACAACGGTGAAGAAAAAACATATGGTTGTTACTAAATTAATTAATTTTGTCTCCTAAAATAATAAATAATAAAAAATCCCTTCATAGCTCTAAATTCAAGGTAGTTTATATTTGCTACGCACATAAAGTTTATAATGTATAGAATAATAGTAAAAAATAGAAATTTAAAATTATACTATAAAGAATAGTAGTAAAAAATAGAAGTTTAAAATTTGTTTCAGTAGGCAACACTGAATCAAATTATGTATATCACAAAACAGAGGGCTAAAGAATGTGCTTTAAGGCCGAATACGACGCGAATGACCTTGCTAGTTTCGCAGCAAACCACGCGCCGCCAGTACC